CACCGCAGCCTCGACCTGCTGGGCTCCGGTGATCCTTCCGCCTCAGCCTTCCGAGTAGCCAGAATTACAGGCATGCGCTACCACACCCAGCTGATTTTTTGATTTATTGTGGAGATGAGGTCTCGCTGTCCAGGCGGGTCTCGAACCACGGGCTCAGGCAATCCACTCACCTCAGCCTCCCAAAGGCGCAGGATTACAGGCTGAGCCACCGAGCCCGGCTGTCTTCAGATTCTTAAAGGAGGGTCCAAGAGGGAGTAAAATAATAAGTTGTTGGTTTAGTCTTCTTTTTAATTTTTTTTTTAAAAAGTTCTGGCTTAATCCCTCTATTTCATTTTTTTGCTTTTTTTTTTTTGAGTCAGAGTCCCACTCTGCTGCCCAGGTTGGAGTACAGTGTAATGCTCTCAGACAATCTTTCTACCTCAGCCTTCCAAGTAGGAGGAACTATAGGCACATATCACCACACCCGGCTAATTTGTTTATTTATTGTAGAAATGAGGTCTCACCAAGTTGCCCAGGCTGGTCTCGAACCTGTGGGCTCAGGTAATTCTCTCACCTCAGCCTCTCAAAGTGCTGGGATTATAGGTGTGAGCTACCGTACCCGGCCACAATCTATTTCTAAGTAAGTATATCTACCAGTATGTCCCTCTATGTTCAGCCAGGTAAGAAAGCTGTCACTCTTAAAACCAGCTATTTCAGTTGCATTCTGGAAAAGCTAGTGACCCCAGAATAGCTACTTGAAGTTCCCAGTCATTCCCCTTGAATCTCTCCCCAAGTGGTTCCCCTGCAGGTCTTTTCATCCCCAGTAAATTCCCAAGAGATCCTTACCGTCAACTTCTTCCCTTTAATGTGCATAAACAAGCCAGGAGAGGCAGATGCCCTAGGACCCCCAAGCTCACTCCAGCTGACCACCTCCTCAGTCTCACAGAGTGGCTCCTCAGGCAGAAACAAGTTCAGTCACTCCAGGGAGTCTTGGACAGTGCTACTAACGCCTCCCAGCTAGAGGAGGGCAGAGAGGAAGAGAAAGTAGGGTCAGCCAGTTGCCACAGTTATCTGACCCTGTGTCCCCTGGGCATACTCTAACTTCTGTGAGGACATTTAGCCAATGAGGAGGAAGATCACAGAGCTGAAGATCCAGGCTCAGAAGACTTGGTATTCCAGAGCCATGAAGCATCAGTCTGCAATGTTTCTGGCCCCCGCTTCACAAAGAAACACTTTCCAGAAAGAAGGTATTAGGATATATGGCATTAAACTCATAAGCTCTAAAGTTTGATTGAATTCTGTAATCTTTGGCTCCTTTCCACAGAGGGTCTTGTGGGACAGTTTTCAATCCATTTCTCCCACCCTTTCTTATTTACTAGCAAGAGCAAATATTGAACAAAAAGATTCAAACCCACACAGGAACAGAGTTCACCTGAATGTGTTAGACTTTGATTATTAAGATAAATTGCCCTCAGTGAAGAAGTGACGAGCCTGGGAGTTGAGTCCTTGACAAACTAGCCTTTGAGGGAGTAATTTCCACACCTGTAAGAAAATTTATTGAACTTTACCTGGCCTAAGATGCCACTAGAACTGGCAGTGAGAAAGCCAACTGGATTTTGTTTTCCTAAGTCTGGAGAAGTGAGTGTTGACCAAGATTCTATCACCAGTCAACAGCATCTAGACAATTAAGAACTATCACTTCTCATTTTTTCCTTGGCAAAGACTCAGGCACAAGGCCAAGTTCTAGTTCCTGGAGGACTATGTTGTAAACTTTTCAGATTATCTAAGAAGGATTTCTTAATTTAAATGGATACTAGGAGAATAAAACTTATTTTCCTTGTTGCTGGTGGAATTATATGTATTTTTTTTTGTGTGTTTTTTTTTTTTTGAGTTGGAGTCTCAGTCTGTCGCCCAGACTGGAGTGCAGTGGCCACTCCCGGCCACCGCAGCCTCAACCTGCTGGACTCCAGCGATCCTTCCACCTCAGCCTTCCAAGTAGCCAGAATTACAGGCATGCGCTACCATGTCCGGCTGATTTTTTGATTTATTGTAGAGATGAGGTCTCACTGCCCAGGCGGGTCTCGAACCCGTGGGCTCAGGCAATCCACTCACCTCAGCCTCCCAAAGGTGCGGGATTACAGGCTGAGCCACCGAGCCTGGCTTATTATATGTATTGTTTACTCTGCTAAGTCGTACACTGTGGACAACTGGAGATGGGTAGGAGGGGAAAAAACAGTGCTTTATGATAGATGTATGTGTGATACAATAAAGTAGGGAATGAGGAATTGGGAAAGGGAGGAGAATAAAGTAGGAAGCCTCCAAAAAGAATAATAAATATGTCATACATCTAATACTTATTGACCCAACCTGGGCTTTTAAAATACAAGGCAGTGATGGAGAGGAACAGAAGTATCTAAAGAAGTGGCCTCTGCCCTCACTTCAAGGTTCAGGACACATGATCTGCAAGGCTGTGTGTGGACAGCAACCTGGGCCAAAGGGCAGTTTTCAGCCTTCAGAGTAGTGGCTATGGGCCAGAGGGAGTATAGGGCTCTGTGCCTGAAAGCTCTGCTGACTAAGCTCGTCCTTTAGCTGCTTTACTGGAGGGTGCAAAATGTGGGTGAGAGGTTAGGCATGGTGAAAGGGCCGGGAGAATCCCAAGGGAAGAGGGGAGAGGCTGTTTTCCAGAAGCAGCTTGAGGGCATTGAGTCATGTCTTCTCTCCTTCTCCATCCCCACTCCTCTACCATATGAAAGCAGGGACCCTGGTCATCTTTTTCACAAGAGGATTCCCAAAATCACACACGACACTCAAGCATTCACTATTGTATAAATGAATTATCAGACAGCAATGTCCAGTTGCGAAGGTGCTGGCCTGCACATATTAGGAGCATCTTTGATTTTTGGAATCCTCTATGAATGTGGAGGCTCAAGGGTGGGAAGGGTTAGAAAGAAGAAAGATGCACAGGGAAGAGGTATCAGGCACCATTAAGGTTTATACAAACTCTACAGGCATTGGCATTTCCCAATTCTCCACCCTAACTTGCAGAGGACAAAAGCACCAAGATGGATATGACCATAACATGCCACCACGAATTCATGGCAGACTTCCCTAGGCAGAAGCCAGGCAGCCACCAACAGGACTGCTATAGTGAACCCTCTCTGGGAAGCGGGCTAGATGAGCTCATGTTAGAGATCTTTCTCAACCCAGAGGCTCTACATTGAATCCATCTTCATCATCCACCCCAGCCTGGATCTTCCAGCCCAGAGCTCACTGTACCAGCTGACAAATTACAAATTATCTGTGAGATGGCCTTACATTTGCCCCTTCTCCATTCCCAAAACATATTCACAGACACAAGTCAATTTTGTCTAGAAATGTATTGACCATAATTAATCTATTAGAGTGACAAGGTAAAAACAGTTAAATTTTTTATTTTCCCTGATCTAGTAGCTTTCATTACTCTTAAAATTCCCCAAGTGTTCCTTCTCAAATTCCAAATCTTGATTGGCCACTTTGGACAGCCAACAGTTAGAGCCTATTTCTGAGCATCTCAATCACATTTCTGAGAAATTTAACTTACTGCGTACATTTTTCCCCCTCATTTCCATTCAGATAAATGACATGACTTTGCTACTAGGGCTGACATTTGCCTCCTACTGGCATTTTATCTCACAGCTCAGTTCCCTAAGACTAAAGGATCTGTAACCACAGTTAAGGACCCAACACCCAAGTTGGGAAGCAGGAACATGTGTCAATGTCATTGACTCAATAGTCCAGTGTCCTCTTCATTTGGTCCTACCTTTCCCACCTCCCCCAACCACCCTATGATAAGAAGTCTGATTTGGCATAGAAAATACATCCAGAGTATTCATGAATTTTTTTAACTGCATGACTTTCTATAAAAATGAATGTAGAATTACCCAAATTGTTATAAGGTTTTGAATAAAATGATCTAGTTGATAAGCCTAGATACAGATTTAATTATTGTAGAACAGAATATCAACCAATGAAAGTTCCAATTGGGGGAGGGTAAGAGGCAAAAAGCACAGGATTCTGGAAAGATTCACACTTCTAAATCTTGAAGACAATGAGCTATCATCAAAAGAATATTGGATTGGGAATCAGAAGACTGAGGTTCTGGCAGATGGTTTGTTTGTTTTTGTTTTAGTGCCAGTTTCCTTACCTGTCACAGGCTACATACAGTCACTCATTATGACCCTCCACCTGTTTTTACTCCAAGTCCCTTCTGTCTACTCCTGACTTTTGCTTACTCACTGCATTACCTAAAGGCCTCTCTCCACAGACACAATTCATATCATCAAGGTGCCTGATGCTTTTCTGATTCTGCTTCTGGACAGAGCAAAGACATGCGTGCAGTGATGATAAGGACCAAAAAAATGAGAGGCTATAAACCCACCTCCCTTCCATCCTACTACTGACATTAGGGCCTCTACCAGATCTGAGAGTTTTGTGCACCAGACTTAGTGGATTGCACAAAACCATTGATCCACACATCCCAAAAGTTACTATGTTCACTTGTTAGTTTTACTGAGTCTTTTTCAATTTTTTTCCTTTCAATTTTTTCATTCGGCAAACACAAAGCTCTTACTACACACATAAGAGATGCTCAGTAAATGTTAGATGAAGGGAAAATATTCAGAAATCCACACGTCACTCCAGTGCTCTAAAAAACATATATAAATCTTCATACCCCCCTTTTCCATTCTTGGCCCCACCTCTGCTCTCATGAACAGAAACTTTTGTTGTTGTTGTTGTTGTGCCAGGGTCTTACTTTATCACCCAGGCAGGTGTGCAATGGCATGATCACAGCTCACCGCAGCCTCAACCTCCTGGGCTCAGGAGATCCTGCCATCTCAGCCTCCCAAGTAGCTGAGACTACAGACGTATGCCACCATACCCAGCTAATTTTTTTTATTTTTTGTAGAGACAAGGTCTCATTATGTTGCCCAGGCTGGTCTCAACCTCCTGGGCTCAAGCAATCCTCCCGCCTCAACCTCCCAGAGTGCTGGGATTACAGGCATAAGCCACTGCATCCGGCCTCATCTGAACAAGAACTCAAGTACAGTATGACATGGCCTGTGACTAATACAAATGTCCATTCCACTAAAAGGTCATCTTTTAAGCAGGTACTAGTTCTCAGCCTAAAAATACTCTAGCGGGTCTTCAGCTTCATCTGAGGATATGCCACCGTGATCATGCCTGCTATAGAGGACACAAGACCTCCAAGTCCAATGATACCAGGATTGAACTTCCAAATCCCCAGCTGGTCCAAAGGGTTCAGGATATCACAGAAGTTCTTCACCGTGTCCAGGAACAGTGGAGGATGCCGCTTCAGAGATCGGAATAAAAGAAGGAGAAAGGATTGGAGCCATTCTGTTTCCTCATCAGCCACGCTGTACCCAACAGGATCCTGGGATGACCTCTCCCTCTTTGCCCTGTCATGTGTAACCTGTTCCATCTGCAGGGAGATTTCATAGACATCCCTCACCAGGCTCAGCAGGAGAGAATAGTAGTAGTGGCGGGCAGCCCACAGTCGCCATTTCTCTTTGTTGATGCCAGAGACGAGACCTACGCTCCTCACCCAGAGGATGGTGTCACAGATGAAACAAATTGCACGGTTCAGGTTGGCAAATGTCAGGCATAAGCGGAGGACCGGGTCAGTGATATGAATGTTCTGCTCAATTGCCTGTACAGCATGTACCACGTTGCCTAGTCTGAACCCTGCAAGTAGAATCCACAATAGTTAACAGTTACTTCATTAGTATGTAATGGGAAGGTAGAATCCCTGTATCAGGTAAGAAGTCACACTTTTTTTTTTTTTAAGTTTTTTTGTTTGTTTTTGAAACAGAGTCTTGCTTTGTTGCACAGGTTGGGATGCAGTGGTGCGATTATAACTCACTGCAGCCTCAAACTCCTGGGCTCAAGAGATCCTCCTGCCTCAGCATTGTCCCAAGTAGCTGAGACTACAAGCCCAGTTTACCATGGGATCTTTAACAGCTGGTGGTCATTTGAGGTGTAGTCTTTGCTCAGGTAAGGAGACTTTACAATATGTTAAGGACACCTAAGTTGATCCTGGAAGGCACAAAATACAATGATTCTTTACATTTATCCCCTCCATTACAGTGAACACCTTAATTACAGTGAACACCTTAACACTGACTTACAGCATACTCCAGGCAAGGTCAATCATGAGTACGGGCTGACATTTGAATATTACCAGCTATACTTCTCTAGAAGGAAGATACTATGACAACATGAACTCTAGATGCAACATTCTCTTGGAGAGTCTGATACATTTTATTTACTTTCCAGAGAAAAGATTGCCTTAAAAAAACCCACCATTATCACTCTGCCATTTCTCTGGTCCAACCCCTCTTTGGCAACCTACTGTCAAGAAAACAAAGTAGAGATGAGAGGATTTAACAGATAGGACAATTAATAATATTGTCACATGTAGCTTCTAGTTGAATTAAATCAACCTTTACAATGGCATGTGCTTATGTAAACATGTAATTCAGTTATGTAAGCATATAATTCACAATGCATCAATCAACAAGTACTTACTGAGCACCTTCTGAGAAAGAGTTATAGTCCTAAACATTATGGAAGATACATAAGAAGTACTTTTCCTTAAAGGACTATATGTTAGACTTAGCAAGTGCTTAGAAATAGTGACTCTCAGAAACAAGATTTCAGAAGAATGGTACTATTTTATCAAGAATAATACACAAGGCAGTATATGTATGACTGTTCCAGTATATGGATTCTGGGCTTCGGTTCTGACTCTTGCACTAACTGGCTGAACAACCTTGGAGAAGTCCCTTTGGGACTTAGAGAGTAGTGACCTCTAAAAGACCTTTGAGGTTCAACATTCTAAAGAACCTAAGATAGAATTTCTGATCTCAGCCTTCAAAGTCATCCAGAAAAGCTCGCTACACCCTTCCCATCCCTCTGGTTGACAACTTAAGTCTTCTCTTTGTCAAAATAGTTTCTTAGTTGATCCTCCAGTACAATGGTTTGCTCATAACACCTCTGAGCCATTACTAGAAGAAACTGCCCTTCAAGAACTCTTGCTTTAAAAAAAATTAACTAAATTAACAAAAGAACTCTTGCTTTCCTTCTCCATAACCACATCTCAAGTTCCACCTCTTCCAAAACACCTTTCTTTTCCTCTATGACAGCCAATACATTTGGCACTAAATGTCCTATCATTACTTAAAGCATCTTATTTCTCTCATAATGCTCAGTTCTGTACCTATAAGGAGTGGATGCTCAAAAACAACTGATCAATGTGTGATATTCTACATTCCATTCTAACGCCTCTGCTAACCAACCTACTATAGCAACACCTTGTTCTCATCAAACAAGGAGTCAAACAAGCAATTGCTCTGAGAAGTATGGAATTCCCTGGTATAGTTTGTTATTAGAATGAATTAAATGAGCACAAAACACTGACTTCACTTTTTGCCTTTAACATGAAACCACCCCACAAATGGTCTACAAAATGTATCTATCCATATCCTCTAGCAATCCTCAAGAGAACAGAAAAAGGCAGGTGGTCAGGATATAACTATTCTGCTCTTCTTTAGAAGCTCATGTCAGGGACTGCCAAAACATTTTTTAACCTTTACTTCTAAGAACTAAAAAGTGACACATTGTATTTCCCATTGGTTATGACTAGCGGAAAAATATGGTGTCACACCAAATATAAACATAAGAGGGTGTTTATGAATGGTCTTCTCTGCCATGCAGACAGTCTTATTAGTCAATTTTGTCAATAAACTAGACTGACTAGAAATCAATGCCCTGGAAAGTACTTTGTGAAAAAAAGCCTGAAGATTCTAAACCAGGAGCCTCTGTCCCTCAAGAAACAGGGTACTTACATTTACGGCCAGTGCTCACACTGGACTCCAGTTTCTTGAGCTTCATTACCACCTTCTCTTTGCCAGCTTTAGGCTCTAACAAATATCTAAGCAACATGCATGTGTATTGAGTGGCTCTGAAATGGAAAAAAAACATGAGGAGAATGATTTACAGACTAAGTAAAACTTAATTCATGAAGTAAGGAAATAGAAACATCATGCTAACAGCAAAGCTTACAAGACAATTTCTCATGCAGTAGCTCCTACAATGGCAAAATTCTGCAACAGCCGTTCATGCCACAGGTGGCCCAAAGGGAAGAACACCGGATGGAAATGCAACATAAAGGGAATGAAAGAGACTCTGTAACAATGTAGTGCACAGCTCCCCAAAAGGCCTTTTGCTGGCAGGGAGAAATGGATGGAGTGAAAGTGGAAAAATGTACAAAAATCTCCCTCCTGTTAAGTCTGCAAAGATCCATCATTTTTATCTTCCCAGTGTAGAATGATTTTCAGATCTAAAATGAACTTTTCTACCATGTAGTTAACCCACTGCTTATGTGAAAGGACACAAACTCAAGCCAGAACCAAATGAAAGTCCATTGTTTGATCACTGTTTAATTTTTTGCAAAATAAAAGACTAAATATGCACCAGTATACAAATTAGTATGTTTTTATATTTGTCTTTCAAAACTAATTACTACTTTATAGAAAACCCAGGCAGAATCCTATTTAATAATACTATATATTCAATAAAATGACTACTGCTATGCTTGCAAATAACAATTTTTTACTGATAAAAATATAACACATGGTAAATTTTATGTACACAAACATTCAAATGCACTTGGTAGTCCACTTAATAAAATAGGTGCCTGGTTCCTACTCTCCTGTAACTGCATTTGAATCCCTTTATGCTATAAATATTACTCTCAGTAAAAATGTGGCACATTTTCTGAAATGGAGAATTTGTTATTAGGGATTTAGTAAAAAGAGAAGACAGGGATCATAAACAATTTCTCTCTCTCTCTCTAAGCGTGCTTCCTGATTAGTGGGCTGGTCATGGTCATGTCAATGAACCTCTCTCAGATTTGGTTTAATAACAGGGGTCAACCCAAAAACAAGGCTTTATTTTATGAATGCCAGTTTGGTCACAGAGGCTACATAGATCATCAAGGAGAATGGGAAATGAATGCTAGAGATCTCAGATCTTGCAGAGTAAGTATATCCTAAACAATTATTTTATTAACCAATCTCTTTGATAAACCTTGTGGCCAACATTCTGAGTACACTGGAGTTATAGGTTTCTGTTTTAATGAAGCCTGTATATAATGCAACCACTTAAACAAATATGATCAAACTGGAAAGACAGTATGGCTTGGTAATTAAGAAGTAGGCACTGGTGGCCAGGTGCGATGGCTCATATCTGCAATCCCCACACTTTGGGAGGCCAAGAATGGAGGATTGCTTAAGCTCAAGAGCTAGAGACCAGCCTGGGCAACATAGGGAGACTTCATCTCTACAATAATAATTATTAGCCAGATGTGGTGGCTCACACCTGTAGTCTCACCTACTGGCAAGGCTGAGGCAGAAGGATCACCTGAGCCCAGGAAGTGGAGGCAGCAGTAAGTCCTGATTGTGCCACTCCACTCCAGCCTGGGCAACAGTGAGATCCAGCCTCCAAAAAAAAAAAGTGGGCACTGGAGTCAACTGTGTGGATCTGAATTTCTACCACTTGGTACCTATTAAACCTACTTCTGTCAGTTTCCCCATCTGTGAAATGGGGGGAGGGGTTATTTTGAGCATCTTCCTCCTAGGAGATGAGTTACATAGAGTATGATGAGGGTTAAATAAGTTAATAGTTGTAAAACACGGAAAACAATACCTGGCGTAAAAGTCAGCTTCCAAAAGTCTCATTAACTAGACTATTCTTACTGGCCTGTTTGTTTTAGCACTTGTACACCCAGAAGAGCATAAAGAGCTGTTAAGTAAACTGCAACTGTAATCTAGTTTTTATTAAGCAAGAACCGACCGAATCTCTAAAAGAAATATCATGAATCAGTAACTTATTAGTATCAAAAATACTCTGATGCTTTCCCTCGCATGGCAGGAGCAGTTCATTCTTTCTGAGAATCTCCTTACTATATTCTACACTTCACGAAACGATATCTCAATGAGATACTGGGCAGTCATGGACGATAAACTAGAGTTCTCTCTCCGCAAGCATTTCAAGGAGTATTTGAAAACCCAACCAGTAGTTTGCTTCCCTAGTCACAAACGCTAACCCAAAGGTTCTCTTTAAAAGAGATTCCTCGGAAGAACGCTGAGAGGGGAGAACCCAGTGTGTCTCTGCCAAATTAGGAGGGGAGGGGCATTTGTCAGCCGGTGTCACACATCAATGGTCCCAAAGGGCTGGGGTGCCGGGCACGGGGCTTCGTGCAAGTGGCTCGGGACGCGGGGGCGACCGGCCCACTCCATTGAATTTAGGGGGAGGGGGGGCTCGAGGACCAAACTCCCTCCGTGGGAGCTGGCAGGGCCCTTCCTGCTCCGATCTACGAGGCTATCACCTCCTTCGCGGGGTGCCAGAGAACGGGGACTCGAGTCCCGGGTCAGGGCGAAAAAGGCGTGGAGGCCGCTAGCACCTGACTCACCTGAAGAGTCGGTCCCGACCCTGGGTCTGATTGGTGAAGCGAGTGAAGGCGTCCATGGCGCTCAGCCCAAGGCCACGAGTCGCACAGAGCTCAGTTGTGGGTCCTCTGGGACGTCGCCGGGTCCCCAGGGAAGGGTTGGTTCCCCGGCATCTGCCGAGTGGGAGGAGCCGAGTCTCTCCGCCCCCGTAGGGGCGGGCGCACCTTCCGAAGAGCGACTTAGCGGGCTTCCGGTCTATACCGGAAGTGGTGGTTACCAAGGCGACGCCAAAGCCGCCGGCGCAGGTGAGCAGAACTTCTGGTCTTACCTTTGGGTGCCGTGGCTTTCCTTGTGTCCCAGGACTCCTCTTTACCTGTAGGGTCTCCTAGAGGATAGCACGAGGGGGCCCGTCTCCCCAGCCTCAGGCGTTCCTGGAAGCCCCGCGCGGCCCCGCAGACCTCGGATTCCCAGGAACCCAGGGTGAAATCCCGAATGGGCTCTCCAGTCCGAGACATTGCTTGGGGACCCCGGGGCCTAATCGTTTCCCAGCGTCGTTCCTCAGTTTCACTTGAGTTACACCAGCTCCAGGTCTCCTGAAAGAAGTGGCTAGGGCAGAAATAAGCCAATATATGGTGTGTATTCCTAGCACGAGAGTCGGGTAGATTGAGAGCATTTTCTGTTAGGATTATTGAACACTGAAGAAAATTGTTACCTACAGAATCCTACAAAGGTCAGCATGAATAAAGTGGAGGCAAAAATAGATTATAATGAAATTGCACCACGGAACATTCATTCTCTGGGGTTCAAGCTCCACCCATTCCATGGTAGTAATTTTATAAAATATACCCCCTTATAACTGCAAAATAAGGTCAACTACTTTTGTAATCTTTATTCCCTTGGTCAGGCCCGTTGCTTACATTTGCAGGCCAGGGGTAAAAATACAATGGAGTCTCACGTGCCATATGTTTAAATATGGGAAAGTTATAAATCAAGCAAAATTTGTTGGCCGAGTATGGTAGCTTACACCTGTAATCCCAACACTTTGGGAGGCTGAAACAGGAGGGTGGCTTGAAGCCAGGGCAATACAGAGAGGCTCAGTACAAAAAATGAAAATATTAGCTGGATGTAGTGGCACACCCCTGTAGTCTTAGCTACTTGGAAGACTGAGGCAGTAGGATCCCTTGAGTCCAGGAGTTCAAAGTTGTAGTGAGCTGTGATCACACCACTGCACTCCAGCTTGGGTGACAGAGCGAGACCCTATCTCTGTCTCTGTCTCTTTCTCTGTCTGTCTCTGTCATACACACACACACAAAATGGAGAAAGTATACTTTCATGTTCTAGAAGGCCAGGTGCATTTTCAAAATTCTCTGACTTCCTGGAATACCTGGAAACACAGCTGAAATGTTGTAACACGGTAACCCTAAATCTGAGAGGGTTTGTGCATAATGTTTACCTATTCTAAAGAAGTCACCCCAAGGCCCAGCAGGTAGAGACATTGGTTTATTAAACTTAATGTTAATGGAGGCACTCATGACCCAGGTCAGTGAAGAATCAGAAACCGCACCTCAGGGGCAGCACAGCAAACAGTTTTATAGACAAGCAAGTCAATTAGTCAAATTCCTATCCCATGTTTACAATTACATTGATTAGGCTGACAACTACATCCTTTTCAGCTTTATTGGGTCACCTGTATCCCATGACTCATTACTGGGAATATGTATACCCTTCAGGGACTAGCCTTGGCCAGAGGCCGCTCCTAAGGGAAGAGGCAGGGGAAACAGTCCCTATACCCCACAAATATAGTCGTGTGGGGAGAACTGGCCCCAATCTTTTCGCACTTTCCTTTCTTTTCTGGTTTCTGGCTCCCACCTACATCCCTGCAAGTTCTGCATACAATATATGGCTATTCCAAGCCACACCCAAGTTCTGCCCATAGTCCTGCAAATAGCCACACTGTGACCACCTTTAAGGTCTAGGGGTGCTCACATTAGCAGCTGGGTCTGCTTTCAGGAGAAAGCTGGGAAAGGCTATTGCAGGCCTGGACATCATTTGGGCAGTAGATTCTAGGGGTATAGGGACCCTAAACATAGTCCAGACTCTAGAAGAGGGAAACTAGGCCTTGGGTGAGTATTTGCTCCTTGGCCCCAGGGATTACTCATTCTTTGCAGAGGAAAGTGCCTGGAAGAGAGCCAGAAGTGTTCTCTAAGTGCATGGCACAGGACAGGACAAACTGCAAGCAATATGAATGTATTGAGTACTGGCCATATGCCACCACTGTGCTAAGCTCTAGGCCTTGGGTAGTAGGCTAATAAGGGACACAGTAAACAGATAACTGCGACACAGTGATGTTAGATGATAGAGATGGGCACAGGGTGCATCTAAACACAGATTTATATCATCTGTTTTTTAATACCTATAATTCTGCCTTTGTCATAATACATAAATTGAATCCTATAGTATGTAGCTTTTTCTATTTGACTTCTTTCACCTAGCATAATGCATTTGAGTTTTTATCAATGTTATGCATATCAGATAGTTTGTAATATCCTATTGTTATATTGTATTTTTTATTCTAGAATGTGGAGGTATCAGTTCATTATCCATTCACTCACTGAAGTTCATTTGTGTTGCCTTCAGTTTGTGGCGATTATAAATAAAGCTGCTGTAAATATTTAAGTACAGGTTTTCATATGAAAAGTAAGTTTTTATTTTCCTCGTGTAGTACATAGGAGTGTGATTGCCGAAACATGGTATGTTTAACTTTGTAAGAACCTGCCAAACTATTTTCCAAAGTGGCTGTACTATTTCATAGTCCCATTTACAATGTGAGATAATTTATCTATTTGCCTGTTAATAGTCATTTGGGCTATTTCTACTTTGGGGCCCTACAAATAAAGCTGTAATATGCCTATTTGTGTTCAAGTCCTTGTATGGACATGTTTTCAGTTCCCTCCAGTCACTTCTAGGGGTGGAAAGACTGGATATTATAGTAGGTGTGTGTTAACTGCAGTGGGCAGGCCTACGCAAACCCACCCCCAAAAGTCCAAGGAAACTGAGAGGCCAAAGAAAGAGGCTGACATATTCAGTTTCTCAGAAACCTTTGATAGGGACTTACAGACAAAAGCCATGTTTCTATTTCGTCAGTTGTGAGACAAGATGGTGGATCCCTACGCCATTACCTTCCAGATCCAGGGCTTAGATATCATAGGGAAAGGGTAGACAGCACATGCTTCAGAAGGACAGTGTAGGACAATTGCTTAAGGGCAGTATTATGTAAGTATGATAACATCAAAGTTGTTTTGACCTGAGGTAGGATTTATGGTGAGTACTTGATCTTACAGTGGATAAACTGAAAATCTTAGAGATCTTTCTGGAACTGAGGTTAATGTGAAATCAACATGGCGGATTAGTGGTCATGATGGAGTTGCTTTGGTGTCCATATCAATGTTTTAAGAAATTGCAAACTTTTCCAAACTGGTTCTACAATTTTGGTTTCCTAACTGCCATGTATGAATTTTCCTGTTCTACATCCTCAACAACAGTTGGTATATTCTTTTTAACCTTAGTCATTCAATACAGATATTTCATGATTTTAATTTGCATCTCACTATTGGTCATCTTTTTGAGACTGTTTGCCATCTGTATATCTTCATTGGTTAGGTATTTGTACAAATCTTTTGCCTGTCAAAAAATTGTATTATTTATTACCAAATTTTGAAAGCCTTTAAAATACTCTAAACACAAGTACTTTATAAGATAAATGACTTGCGAAATTTTTTCCCAGTCCCAGGATTACCTTTTATTCTCTTATCAATGTCTTCTGAAGAGCATATTTTTATTTCTGAAAAGGCTTAAATGACCAATTTGGTTTTTTTAGTTTGTGCTTTAATGTCATATCTAGGAAATCTTTGTCTAAATGAAGATTGCAAAGGTCTTCACTTATGTTTTCTTCTGGAATTTTTATAGTTTTAAGTTTTACTTTTAGGTCTATGATCCACTTTGAATTAATTTTTGCATATGAGAGTTCTTTCTTTCCAACATGGATATCTAATTGTTCCAGCATTATTTGTTGAAAATACTTCCTTTTTCCACTGAATTGTCTTTGCACCCTTGTCAAAAATAAGCTCTTCATATATGTGTGCATCTAATTCTGGACTCTCTATTCCATTTTATGGATCTATTTGTGGTTTTTTTTTATACTGATACCACAGTCTTGATTATTATGACTTTATAGTAAGTCTTGAGATTAGATAATGTTAGTCCTTCAATTCTGTTCTTTTTCTAAGTTATTTTGGCTATTCTAGGTATATTGTATTTCCATATGAATTGCTAAATTAGGTTCTTTTTTCTTTAAAAAAAGTCAGCTGTGATTATCATAGGATTGTACTGAATTTATAGGTCAATTTGAAGAGGATTCACATTTTAACAAAATTGAGTTTTCCAACTTATGATATAGGTATCTCTCTCCATTTATTTAGGTCTTCTATAATTTCTCTCAGCAATATTTTTTAAAATTTATTTTATTTATTTATTTATTTATTTTCCGAGTTGGAGTCTCACTCGGTCGCCCAGACTGGAGTGCAGCGGCCGCTCCCGGCCACCGCAGCCTCGCCTGCTGGGATCCAGCGATCCTTCCGCCTCAGCCTTCCGAGTAGCCGGAATTACAGGCATGCGCTACCACGTCCGGCTGATTTTTTGATTTATTGTAGAGATGAGGTCTCGCTGCCCAGGCGGGTCTCAAACCCGCAGGCTCAGGCAAACCACTCACCTCAGCCTCCCAAAGGCGCGGGATTACAGGCTGAGCCACCGAGCCCGGCCAGCGATATTTTATAGTTTTCAGTGTACAGGTTTGCTTTTTTTTTCTTAGATACATGGTCTTGATCTGTTGCCCAGGCTGAAGTGCAGTGGCTGGATCATGGCTCACTGTAGCTTCAAACTCCTGGGCTCAAACAGTCCTCCCTCCTCAGCTTCCTGTGTTGCTGAGACTACAGGCACAAGCCACAGCACCTGACCAGTATATGGGTCTCACACATCTTTTGTCAGATTTCTCCTTAAGTATTTCATGATTTTGGTGCTGTTGTAAGTGGTATTTTTTATTTAAATTTTTGATTGTTTTTGCCAGTACATATACAATCAATTTTTGTATATTGAACTTATATCCTACAACCTTGCTAACCTCATTGATTAGTTCTAGAAAATGTTTCCATAGAGTCCATCAGATT